AGGTGTCATACAAAGGTCATATCATATCTTTTTTGCATCATAATGTCCTCTTTATTAGCTCCGCTGTCGACTTTGTCGAGCGGAGCTTATCATATAAGTGATTGTCCGTCGTCGTTGTCCGTCGACGTCCGTGTCAATGTTTTACTTTTTCAACTTCTTCTTGAAAACTACAAGCCTGAATGCTTTGATACTTGGTGTATATGTACCTTGGGTAGACCTCTCTCAGATTTGTTCATTTCATGATGATATCTTCAATTCTCTAATTTTGGTGAATATTTTTGTCATTTTTGGTAAAAAGTGATATTTTCAACTTCTTGTTAAAAACCACAAGTCCAATTGCTTTGATATTACATATAGGTACCGGTACTACATGTGGACCTCTCTCAGATTTGTTCATTTCATGATGATATCTTTAATTCTCTAATTTTGATGAATATTTTTGTAATTTTTGGTAAAAAGTGATATTTTCGACTTCTTGTTGAAAACCGCAAGTCCAATTGCTTTGATATATTATACATATAGGTACTACATGTGGACCTCTATCAGATTTGTTCATTTTCTAATGATATCTTCTGTTCTTTAATTGCCATGTGCATTGCTAACAGCGGAGCTATCTCAGCCGACAGGCTGCTTGTTGAATTCCTTTACTTGCTCATCTGTATGGTCACAAATAACAATGTTGTTGTTGGTTGTTGGCTACCGTGTGCGAAGCCATTGCAGTTAATTAAGCAATATCCAATATCTCAAATCTAGTAATTGCATTTCAATAACATTTCAATAATATGCCTGAGGACAATGCACCAACTTTGGTTTAAATTGTGCATATTAAATGCTTAATTTTTAGCGTTTTCCACCAATAACTAAAGTGGTTTTTCATCAGATTTCAATCAAACTTGTTACATAGGTGCTCTGGGATAAGCCATATATGTGATTAGGGTAAGGTTAAATTTTGTTCTTACTAATTACCTATTTTGCATGCATAAATTAACCAATTTACAGGTGTTTCACAGGTATCTTGAATACCACATACTCATCAAATGTCAATGAAACTCACATAAGTGCTTTCAGATATTCCAAAGATCTGATTACTTCAGGGTTGAAATGTGTGCATTTAATTACCTAGTTTGTATAGTGGGGTTATATGACCTCATTAATATGCATAATTATAATATGTTATGCATAATTATAATAATAAGTACTGTTGCAGTATTGAAGGTATTGAATGACAAAGCTAAGTGCATAGACAAAATAAGACATATTTCAATGATTTTGCACGCAATAAACAATATTTGCTTTTAATATGCAAAGACATTAGACATTTCTATTGTCTTTGCTTTATGTGAATTGGAGATACTTACTTCATGCTTCCAATACCTCAGCACACAGGAGTTCTTTCTAAACTTTCTTTGATCTTAGTTGGTCCCAAAAATCCTTGCAAGTTGTAGATTTCTTTTTTTAATTAGGCTACTTTATAATTTCTAGTAGGCATCACTCTAATTCAGGCGTCAGGGAAGAGTGAAAGGCCTTAATTTGGTTCTAAAATAGGCTTCACGAAATGTTGAAAAATTGCAGTCAATCAAAAAAACTGTTCACATGATAACAAAAAAATACTGAGTATATTTAATGTAATATGCATTTTTTTTTTTTAATTTTGTGTTAACGAATAGTATATTCTAGAAGTAAAATAAATAAAAAATAAACACAAATGCATTGCTTAGTAGCAAATGATCACGGTACAGTAGCGCAATCCGGTCATGCTGTGTTTCACAAGTGAATAACTTACTTGTTTTCGAAGTGTTGCAATTGTTGATTGGGACTCAGTTGTGATTATAATAACATACAAAAAATAAATTTGCTGTATTGTTATGAAATGTAAGGTAAATTCAACATAGTTTTATTGTAAGCTTGATGCGATACGATATCCGCCATGTTTTTTTATAAACATGTTGACCTGAAACTGTGTTCTTTGTGTTCTTGAATATGTTAATAAAAAAAATCTTGTGAATTGTTTTCAAATATGGTATGCTAATGCATTTGTTTTTCTTTTTCAGATCACAACCTTTACTTCTCTATTTTACTTCAGAAGATGAAGTATTACATATCTAATCTCCATGGTAACAGAGATTCAATGATTTTCATTACGTTTACACGCTACATTGTATATGCCTAGTCTTTGTGTATAACAGACAAAACAAAGATAAACTATTAATCATGGCATCTCCAAGGAGACGTCTTGGATCACCAAGAACTATAAACAGTGTTTATCAAAAGACGAAATTTCCTCCGTTGTCAAGGAAATCATTGTCCGAGCAGCGGTGTCAAAGGGGACATCATAATGGTCTGCAAGATGCTTTACAGATTACGGGTATTGAAACGGAAACACCTGAACCAGCATCATCAAGAACAGCGAGTTCTTCATCTAGAATTGAGATCAGTTCTGCTAAGTTAGAAGAATTAAAGGATTTACAGGTGAGAAAGCAGCTGATGAGAAGGGGAAAGGAAGGGGGTAAGCATGGTGGATGGACCTTTGGTAGGAACTGAAAGGAGGACGTGAGGAGGGGACTTGGGTAGGAAAGCTAATGAGTAGAGGGTTAGTGTTGGGCGGAGGGGGCATGGGTAGGAACACTAATGACCGTGTGGAGAGGTAAGTGTTGGGAGCAGGGAGCATGGGTAAGAAAACTAATGAGTGGAGGGGTAAGTGTTAGGAAGAGGGAGCTTGGGTAGGAAAGCTGCTGAGAGGAGGGAGCTTAAATAGGAAAGTTGCTGAAAGAAGGGAGCTTGGGGAGGAAAGCTGCTAAAAGAAGGGAGCTTGGGTAGGAAAGCTGCTGAGAGGAGGGAGCTTGGGTAAGAAAGCTGCTGAGAGGAGGTAGCTAAGGTAGGAAAGTTGCTGGAAGAAGGGAGCTTGGGGAGGAAAGCTGCTGAGAGGAGAGAGCTTGGGTAGAAAAGCTGCTGAGAGGAGGGAGCTTGGGTAAGAAAGCTGCTGAGAGGAGGGAGCTTGGGTAAGAAAGCTGCTGAGAGGAGGGAGCTTTGGTAGGAAAGCTGCTGAGATCATAAATAATGGTGGGATGTTACTGGAAGGAGAACAGATACATTTTGGGAGAAGGGAAGGTGATATTAGAAGAGTAGAGCGGGAAGTTTATTTGGGAAGAAAATTTAAGCTGCTTGAGAAAGAGAAGGAATATATTTGGAATTTTAAGACCAAGAAAAAGTGCAAGAAGGAAGGACATTCATGAAATTAGCAATTACTGAGATGAAAGTGAGTGGAGAACTGTTAATGGGTGAAAGATGGTAAAACAGTCAATAAACAGGTATACCAAATGATATAATCTCCAGAAAAAAAAGTACCGGCAGTTGCTGGGGATAGTACAAATGCTGAGGGAATGTACTGGTAGGGATTGGATATCAAGAGTATAATGTCTGGTATTCCACCATGGTTTAACTTTTCAATTTTTGTTTATAGGTAAGAGAGAAGCAGTATAAAAATAAATTATCATCACTTCAAAAACTTATAGAACAATTAAGAGCTGAATTAAAAGTCAAGCAAGAAGAAATTGATAATCTTATTTTAAAGATGGCTGAAGTTGTAAGTATTCTGTAACTATTTTTGCTTCAGGCTGTGTACAAATTTGAAATGAAGTTTGATACTGATAATACTATAATCCTTTCATTAATTATATTTTGAAAGAGTAACTATTTGTTCAGATGTCTCAGTTGTTAAAAGAAACATTAAAATTATATTTTTTAAAGGCTTGAGGGGATATTGGTAACATGATTGTAAAATTACAGATTTCAATAGTAGTTATTTTAACAGAAAACACTACATATCACAGGAAGACTTGATGTTGAGCCAAATAAAATCATAGTGCGCTACTTGTTGCATTCAACCACAAATCACCTACTTAGTTTATTCAGTAGAGTGACTATGATATTGAAGGTCAGCAGAATGTTAAACCATAGAGAGCCCAGAGGTAATATTAGTAGTATTAGATTAGTAGTGCTGGTCATTCACTACATTACATTACATCAAATTACCACATTGGTGGAATAGCCACAGTTAATTTGCATTAAAAAGGAATCATTAAAACAGTAAGCCACAGTGACTTTTGTAGCTGTGAAGATTTTATTGGGATCCCCAACTCAAGAACATTGTCTCTTCTGAAACTAAAAAAAAGTGGTTTACCGGGTACAGTATACATTTGCAATTGTCATGTTAGTAAAATATTAACTAAATTAATCACCCAGGTCCTGTGAATGACAAAACGTGCCACACAGTTCGAGCAATGAGACAAACAGGGTTGAGTCAGGTCATAATTAATTGAGCATGGCTCATCACTAGGGGCAATATTTTGGATGAAAAACTACTTTACAATTAGTAAACAATGAAAAACAGCTTACATGGTTGTTATGGAAATAATTTTATGTTGATGTTTTACAACAATTAATTGTTTAGTCTTTTATTTGAAACTGTGATAAAACTGTGTTTTTGACAGATAAACATTTATGGTCAATAAACGCAACTGACAATGAGTTGCTTACATTTACATCAGCTTACTAGCCTTCAACTAGAGTGTGAGTAAAAAATAATTGCTTCAGTCAATAGATTAAAAGAATTAAATAGCACAATTGACAAAATACCTAACTTGAACAAAAGTTGCATGTATATTATACTCATACAGTCACTAGAATAGCACTTTATGTTTCACACCCAGTCTAAAAATTAAAAAGGTTCTATAAGTTGTTTATCATACATGAAGAGATTTCTACAAGATACCTTTAAACAATTTTTGTCAGTAAATCTTTTATCAAAATTTGTAAAAATAGGTAGAAAAATGTTTCAACTAAAGGTTCCTTATCAAACTTTCTTCCTTTAGAGTTCGCTCACCTTATTAATTAGTTGATTTAAAAGAATATTCAAAGTTTTAATCTAAACAGAAAGCTTGACAAAGGTTGCAGGTTTAATCAGATGTTTTGACTATTTGGATCATCTACATCTGTGGAATCACTGGGAAAATTTATCACTTGGTTTAATTAATTCCTCCACCTGACAAGTATTAGCAGATTTAGTTTTTGACTCCCGTGTGCGAAGCACAAAAGGGAGTCTTTGCAGTTACCCTGTCTGTATGTCTGTATGTATGTATGTCACTTTTTTTGTTCCACCGTTATCTCAAGAACCACTAATCAAATTTTGGTGAAACTTGGTACATAGATGCTCTGGGATAATGCGCAGAGTTGATTAGGTTTTGGTAAAAATCTATGAATATTAATTACCTAATTTGCATGATAATTAGCTGATTTTTAGCTCTTCCAAGACTGTTCCACTGATATCTGAAGAACCACTCATTGGATTTTGATGAAACTTGGCACATGGATGCTCTGAACTAGTGCGCAGATTTGATTAGTTTTGGGTAAAAATCTATGAATATTAATTATCTAATTTGAATGATAATTAACTGATTCCAAGCTGTTCCATGACTGTTCCACTGATATTTGAAGAACCACTCATTGGATTTCAATGAAACTTGGCACATGGATGCTCTGAACTAATGCACAGAT